TATTTTTAAAATTTTTACAGAACTTTTAACGGATTTTATATTTTTTAAATTTCCAAATTCATTCCAAATGGTGGATGGTATTGGAAGTTCGGCCCGGCCGAACTTACTGCTTTTTAGCTTGTTTTAGAATATTTTATAAAACACTCACAAAAATATTTTTAAAGGGCTTCTGGAGCACAATTGTGAATTTAGTAGAAATACTTTTGAAAGGACCTATGAAGCTACTATCGTCAAAGGACAATAAGAGGTATAATTGAATTTTTTATGATTTTTCCAGAGTTACAGTCGCATAGCATGTTCCATATTTTAAGAGAATTCTAAGAGCTACTGATATTTGAAGGACAAAACTTTTAAAGAAATTGACTATCGAGGATTTTTTAGATATTTTAGAAAGCTATTTCCAAAAAAAAAAAAAAAAAAAAAAAAAAAAAATGGCATGTTTCCAGTGGTTCTAAGAAGGGTTTATTCAAAAATGTAGCTCGAATAGTCCTTAGAAGAATATAATTATAGATCAAGGACTATTGGATATACATTATATTTTTAAAATTTGACTCATTTTCCTTTAAAAAATACATTTTTGGCTTAAAAAGAATTCCTTAAAAACTCTCATTTTTTGGCTCAAATTGTCCATGAACAATATTCTTCAGAAAAAATCACGTTTCGTTGGTTGGGATGAGCCTTGAAAAATATGCTGAAAAATCCACGTTTATTGGATGTGGAGAAAAATTATTCCTAAATGTTCCAGATTATTTCCATGTGGATGACCTTGAAAAGTATGTTTAAATTTTTGATTAGTTAGTTGATGTGGGGGTCCTTTAAGGAATATTCTTAAAAATCCACGTGAAGGATTGTGAAGGTCCTTGAAAAAAATATCCAAAGTAATCAATGTTTAGAAACAGTAAAGGGCCTTGAACATTTATTCATAAAAATCTACGTTTAGTGTCTGTGGGGGTCCTTGAAATTTGTTTTCAAAAAATCCTCGTTAAGTGGCTGTGAAGGTCCGTAAAAGATATTCTTTATAACTCTTGTTTAGTGACGGATCTCGAAAAAATATTCTAAAGATACCGTGATTATAACAGACAGACGGACATCGCTAGATTGTCTTAGAAAATTACGCTGATCCAAAATACACATATATACTTTGTAGGGTCTATTATGACGATTTCGAGTTGTTACAACGGAAAGATAAAGCTAATATATCCTCCATAGAACCTTAATTTTGAAGAAATATTCTTCAAAAATTCATTGTATGTGCCTCATAAGAGCCTTCAAAAAAAACTCCTCAAAATTCCATGGGGTTTTCTAAAGTAGAGCCTCATTTAGGTTTTCGCATAGTACAATCTTCAAAAATCTATCTACGTTTTGTGACTTTGACGATCCTCAAAACTTATGGTTTGCGATTCGGTAGACCCTTAAAAAATTACTTTTAAAAAAATTCGCGAGAGCCATAAAACCTGGACATGTGAAAAAACAATAGATGGCCAAGAAAACCACAAAAATTGATCATTTAAGGAATGTTTTTTAAGTTCCAAAAAGTCATGTTTAAGCCCAAGAGAACCGAAAATCGTGAATTTTTATGGAAATTTTTAAAGCAAAAAAGGCACAGGAGTTTTTTTAGAGCCAATCGTTTGCGGCTCACTTGATTCCAAAAAATGAGGATTTTTAAAGATTTGTTTGAGCCAAAAGAAAGTTTTTTTTTTAAGTCCAAAAGGCCCATAATAACTGGAAGTATGTTTCAAAAGAAAAGATTTGTTTAAGGCCAAAATATGTGAATTTTTAAAGAATTAATTTTAAGTTCAAATGGTCCTTAAAACCTGGAAGAATGCCCCAAAAGAGTTGTTAAAGATTTAAATTTTATATTCCAAGAAATTCTCGTGTTAATGAGTATTTTTTAGGGCCAAAAACGTGGATTTTCAAATACTTGATTAAGGACCTCTATTTTTTTTTTTTTAATCTTTCAATCAAATTTAGACTTTTAATATTTTTTATAGGCCACGATGGCTTCAAAATGGATTTTTTTTTTAATTTTTTCATTCAAAATCGCTTGAAGGATTCGTATTTATAAGTATTTTCTTAAGGCCAAGAGGGCCCAAAAATCATGGATGATCAAGGCCAAGAGGACCTCAAAAATTTGAGTTTTCAAAATTGTTCAATCCGTAAAGCCTCAAAAACGTTAATTTTTAATATTTTTATAGGGCACGAGGGCCTCAAAATGGGATTTTTTAATTTTTTTCTAGACCAATAAGGCCACGGTAATTATTTATTTGTTTTTTTGAAAGATTCTTAAATAATTTTTTCAAGGCTTAGCAAATAATACATTTTTATTCACTAATATTAAATCCTTTCGCGGTAAATTTAAATTCTACTTTTATTATGAGGGTTTCCTCGTTTACTAAATAAGTTATAGACCAAGAGCACGTCAAAGATTTTTCACAAATTTTTCCAGACCAAGAGAGCCAAAAAAGAAACGTTTTTAACGCTTCATACTTGCCATGAGACACTTTTTGAAATGTAATCCCTTTGGCCATGCGGCCAAAACGTGTCTTATCGAAAAAAAACAGTTTCAGACCCTAGTTCTCTTTGTTCCAATGATCCGTTTTAGGACATTTTGAGTCGATTTAGGGGTGTCCGCCCGTCCGACTGTCTGTCTGGTTGGTGTCAACGATAACTGTCGCAGGCAGTATCCGATTTGATCTAAACTTGGTACATCGTAATATTATTATCAAACTTAGATCGAGTTCGGAGATGGGCAACATCGGTCCACTCCCCATGGTACCTCCCCCACAAAAGATCAAACTTTTAACAGAAAATAATTTACCTTGCAGAACAAGACAATGCCATTCAATTTATTGCAAACCATAAAAATTCGAATATTTTTATCTGTGTTTGATCAGCACTAAATTCTATGTCGATTGTGCGACTTCCGTCCGTCTGTGTGAAATCCCTCTTGCTTCCGACCGAAATGAAGTCTTGAAATTCTACATTTTATTGATTAGAATGTGTCAAAAAGTAGCTGAAGCAATTTATGTTTTATATATTTGAGGTTGACTCATAAAATATTTGAAGAAATCCTCATTTAGTGGTTTTTAAAAAAAAATATTTAAAATTTCACGTTTTATAGATTTGAAGTTTTTTTAAAATTTACAAGCTTTCTACATTTTGATGTCCTTAAAAAATTAAAATTTTCACGTTTTGTAAATTTTAAAGTCTTTTAACGAATATATATTTTTTAATATCTTAAAGATGTAACGATCCTTGTAAAAATAAAAAGGCCAAATTTTATTGATTTGAGTGTCCTAGAAAAATATTTTTTTTTTTTTTAAATCAATGTTTTGTGTCTTTGGATAGCCTTAGAAGATATACTTTAAAGTTCACTTTTAATGTCCGTGGAAGGCTTTAAAAAATATTTTTAAAAAATCCCTATCTACTTCCTTATATAGGGGTCTGTTGGCCTTTCACAAAATATTCTTGGCAGCTCCAATATCCTGTTCACTGTTTTATTTACGGCTTCCATTTGAAATTAATTTATTTTGAAAGTGTAACTAATACAATGAATGTTTTAAAAATGAAAATTTATTGGCCCTGCATTGACCTCCGGTCTAGACTTCAATTAATTCACAGGTTTTTTGTGTTTTTATTTTTCACCCAGAACCCAAGGGTTTTCCTTTCATTTTTAATTACCAATACCTTTTGGGTTTTTATTATTATTTTATTTTTCCTATCAATTATTTACAAAAGGGAGAGACCAAAAAAAAAATCGAATTACGTTTAACAAGCGTGTTAAACAAGAAAATAACATATTTACAATTACTGCATGGAGGAGCCCATGAAAAAAATAACAAAAACAACAACAAAACACACAGAAGAAAAAGAAAAATTGGAAAAAGGTCTAAGCTATTGACTTGGCAAGCCATGGAACCCATGAGCCCAATAATAACAACATCACCAACAAATTGTTTGTTGTTGGAATGTGTTTTTTTCGGATGGGGTGCTAGCTGCTGCTGCTGGTTGGTTGCATGCATGTTTGACTTGAAAACAAAGCCGGCCGACTGACCGAACGACCATAGGTTGTTATTTTTGTTTCTGTGGCCTTTTTCGAAAGTAGCAAAAATTTATAACCGATATCCCGCTGATTTACATTCATGGTGTTGTTATTATGTAAAAATTCATTAAACATCTTGAGAAAAATTTCAATTCACACCAAAAACAACAACAACAAAGCAAAATGTAAAGAAATCGTAACGAAAAAAATTGTAAAATCTTAAATTAATAAAGAAGAAGAAGCTGTAAAAAATCCAAACATCTTCACCCGGTTTGAGGTATATGTTGGATGTGGGGATTATCTCGCCTTATCTCCGAGAGGAGGCAATATTTAATATTCAATAAATGTTGAGAGAATTAATGTACATGTTATCTTGAATTGTTGTTTATTTGTGTGTAATGTTGAATGTTATTGCAAATGTTGTTCGAAATATCGACTCATTGCTCAAAATCATGTTTAGATTTTAATTGTCTTGTTAATGTATTCGAAAAAAAAAGAAACTGATAATCCCTGTTGTACACCATGTTGCAGTTGTAGAGTGATAGCGACGGTTTTGCAGGTATTTATTTTTTCGCCTGTCATGATTTGGGTTTCGTAGGATTGTCCGTAAATAATTTCATATAATTGAGGTAATTTTGTTTTGAGTTATCTCCCAGGAAGATAAGTGTGTTTTTCTAGGTTTTGAAAAAAAAAATAAATGAACGGTTAAATTAATTTCGAAAAAATGCGTAAAATTAGTGAAACTTTAATTACGTGATTAATGATGCCGACAATGAGTAATGAGTTAATAAAATTGGATATTTTCTCCATAATCAACCTTATAATTATTAAGGAGGGCAGCTGAGGGAAGTGATTGCATTTTGATCGAGGTGGACTATGCACCTGGTGGAAAGGAGTTTCCTTAAGAATTCGATTCTAAGCAAACATGGATAGGACTCAATTAAAGTATGTGACTTACCTGGATAAAATTCCACATTGGTTTGCAGTTGATTAGAATGCCAATCGTAGATAATCCTTTATGGGTTTTTAGTATCTGGAAAGAGAATAAGATAAAAAAATTAATATAAGGCAAAATTAAATAGGTATGTAAGTGATTCAATATTTTCAAGCTCAAAAATTGCCAAAAATAAAAAAATAATAATTTTAAGAATATTTCTACAAAAACCAACAAAGTAATAAAATTTGGAATTTTCAAGGACCATCTACACCACGAAACGTGGATTTTAAACATTAATTTATGACGGCTCAACAAAACTACACAACTAGTTTTTTTCAGGAACCAAAAACCCAAAAAAACATGGATTTAATGGTAATTTTTTCAACGCCAATAAAATCAGGAGACCTCGATTTTTAAATAATATTTTTCAAGGATCAATAGATACACAACATTTAGATTCCTAAATAATTTTTAGGGGCACACAAAGTCAAGAAGTGTATATTATTAAATGGAGGACATAAGCAGTCTTTTTGAATGGATTTTTTTTTTTAAAAATTATATGCCAACTGAGCTTCAAATAGTACATTTTAAAATATTTTTTTTAGGGACAATTAAGCCACAAAGAACGGTCTTTTAAGTTTTTGCTAGATTTTGTGTTCTAAGTATTTTAAATGGTCGACAGAGGAAAAAATAAAAATTTTTAAGAATATTATAATAGAGTTATTTATTATAAGAAGTCCCAAACGATAAAATTTGGATTTGGATCTTAAGCACAAAACGGATTGGATTTAAACATTTTTAAGATTCTTTCTTTCAAGACCAATAAAAGCAGGAGATGTAAAATTTTAAATAATATTTTTTCTAGAACCAAAAAAAAAAATATGAAATTTTTTTAAATCAGGCCTAGTGGTTTTGATGGCCCTTGAAAAGTATTTTTCAAAAAAAATATTGTTTTAAAATTTTTAAAGGCCAAAGCCACTAAACTTAATTTTTAAATAAGCGACAGCAGCAGGCTCTAAGACTGGATTTTTAATTTTTTTTTTTTTTGTAGGTCATCGGAGTTTCAAAAAGTCAATTTTAAAATATTTTGTGAGAATCAAAAAAGCCCATTCTTTGTTTGATTTCTCTTTCGAGACGAGCTTAATGATCTGAAATTTGCAGTGAAAAGGAAAGCCAGATAGACACTATCACACACTCACCACTATGCGACGCATTTTGCCGTTGGTTAAGCGGCTCATCAGGCATATTTGGTGTGGATGATGGCTTACAAGGGCCGTTCTCTGGAAAGTAGTATATATTTCGAACTTATTGCAAATTAGCATATATATAACAATTTTTAAGAATATTTTTCAAATCTTTTCAAGGCACCAAGACGCGAGTTTTTCTAAGAATATTTTTCAAGGATGAAAAAGTGTATTTTTTATTTTTTTTTAGCCAAAAAAATAAAAATAAATTTTAAAGGCTTTTCAAGCCGAGAGATGTATGCTATAAAGATTTTTCCAATTTTTTAAAAAGTGGATTATAATTATGAATTCTAAAAATGTAGTGTAGTAAAATTCTACAAAAAAAATACATATATATATTTATAATAATATACAAACAAATTAAAAATTTAAAGATTTGCTTGCCGCATGATGTTATATGTGGATAATTCAATCCCGCCAAGTTGAGCCGATCTAACTCTGTGTCTTATTCCGTCCGAAACAAGACTCCATATCTATATATCAAGAACGAAATCGAAAAAAATGGGTTGGGTGAGATGACACAACTGCAACCAACTTCAGACTGCTGTCATTTGTAAGCCACTCGTCCGACAGCTGTTTAAATTATTCCAGTGACAGTTAACTTTATTGTTTACAAGCGTACAAAATCATTTTGGTGAGAATTTTTCAGAAAAAAGTTATTCGAGATGGAATCCAAGCGTGATAGTGTGATTTCTTTATATTTGGCTGGAAAACCACAAGTGGCTATCATTAGAGCACTCGTGCATTTAAATGTCTAGATTTAAGTGTTGTTCTTGGAAACACACAAACTTCTAAAACAATGGATTTGGGAATTTATACAATTTTGGTGACAAATTATTGACATTAAAAAAAACCTGATTCATTTTGTTAAGTTGATTTGTTTTTTTTTCTTTTTTGTAGCTAGGCTTTAATTTGAGACCATAAATTATCGAAAATGTCTCAATTGTTAGATGTCTTTGTAAATTTGTCTATTGTCTTTGATTGATTTGAGAAATTAAAAATTCATTTAGTGATTTTTAATGATTTCGAAATCGTTTTCAGATGAAGACATTTAAATCAATTTAAATAAAAAAAAAAAAACTCCATGGTTCTTCGCTTTGGAATTTCGTGAAAAAAATACTTTACCAAAAATAAAAGTTAAAGACTCTCAAAAATCAACGTATAATGGTTCTTGTAGTTCATAAAGAATATTCTTATAACAACCACTTTTTTGCTTAGCCTTAAAAATTATTCATACAAAGCCTGCATCATAGGACTTCCTTTATGTTTTTCCAAAAAAAAAAAAAAAAACAAAATAAATAAATGAATAAAAAATAAAATTACTTTAAAGACGCCGTATTTGGATTTGAAAGCGTGATAGTGTGATTTCTTTATATTTGGCTGGAAAACCACAAGTGGCTATCATTAGAGCACTCGTGCATTTAAATGTGAATAAATATTTTGTGTCTTGTACCATCGCTCGTTACCGTGATACTGGTAGCATAGCCCGACGTCAAGGAAGTGGATGGAAGAAAACAGCAACATCAGCAGAAATGGTTTGAAAAGTAAAGAAGCAACTTGATCGAAACCCACGTCGCAGTGGCCGAAAAATTGCTCGTGAGCTCAACATATCGCAATATTCCATTCGGCAAATATAAAAAAATGAGCTCGGGGTAATAGCATTGAAATTCCAACAAGTGTAAGAACTTACACCGCAACAGAAAGAAGATAGACTCCAAAGAGCTAAAAGTTACTTCGCTTGGCTGAAAGTGGTGAACTGCCGAATTTGGTTTTCTCCGATGAGAAAACATTCGTGGTCTAGAATTTTGTAAACAAACAAGATGATCTTGTTTACTTGCCAAAGAGGTCAACTGAAAATGTGCACCTTCGGTTGGCCACCAGAATTGAAGCCCCGATCATGGAGATGGTGTGGGCCATCATAACAGCCGATGGTCGCTCTCCGTTCGTATTAATCGACCATGGCATCAGAATAAATGCCGAAAATTATCGCGAAAATAGTCTGGAGGGTGTATTAAAGCTTTGGACAAGCAAACATTTTGGTGGCAGACCTTAGACATTCCAACAGGACTTAGCACAATCGCACTCAGCACGCTCCACCCAAGAATGGTTACAAAATGAGGTTCCTCGCCTCATTTCCAGCGCACAAAGGCCACCAAAATCTCCGAATACCAATCCGTTGGGCTATTGTGTCTGGAATATTCTGGACTTGGATTTTAAACTTTTAAAAATCAAATTTTCAAGTTTTTTTTTTATTTAAAATTTTTCTTTCAATTTTTTTGATTTATTTTATTATTATTTTTTTAAGAAGAAATGTTTGTTGATATTTTAAGAATAATTCTTAAAAGTCATCATGATTTTTTAAGAATAATTCTTGAATTTTTAAAAAAATATATTTTTTCAAGACCTTTCAAAACTACACCATATTGTCATATTTAGGATATTCTTTAATTTGTGAATAATTATTTTGCTTCATTTTTAACTTTGTAGTTCACTTCGTCCATTGCATTGAATTTAGATTACAGGGTACGCATTTGCTCTCTCTCTCTCTCGCCTTTATTAACAATTTCCGAAAATTTTTTGTGGATGAGAGACAATGACCCAACCATTCATGTCTGTTGTCAACACTATCCTCACTGTCCGTTTGGCTGCCAAGTAACTTTTCGTGTTCAACGATTTCAGTGGAAAATTGTTATATTTGTTATGGCCTGGTCAATATTATGTTGTTGTTGTCTTTTTTTATTGATCTTAAATGTGAGTCAATCAATTTCAATGGACGTCAACAACCAACAACATTCAATTTTGGGAACACTGAAATTAACGAAAACAAAAAACACTAAAACTGGAATTTATTTCAATTTTAATTTTCATTTCGTTTCAGGAGGGTGTAAAGATAAAATTGATTACAAAATGTCATCATTAGGTTGGTATTGTTGTTGTTGCTTTTTTTTCTTTTGGCTGGTGCATTCAATTTCGTTTTGTTTTTCAGTCCTTTTGGTAGATGATTTTAATCACGATTTTCATTTATTTAATAGCTTGTCTTTTACTGACACACAGCTAACATGAAAATCTAGAATACCGTGTGCATCGGAATTGGCTCATTAGGAATTTCAACACCGTCTCCAGATTTAAGTGTTGTTCTTGGAAACACACAAACTTCTAAAACAATGGATTTGGAAATTTATACAATTTTGGTGACAAATTATTGACATTAAAAAAACCTGATTCATTTTGTTGAGTTGATTTGGTTTTTTTTTTTTTTCTTTTTTTTTTTTGAAGCTAAGCTTTAATTTGAGACCATAAATTATCGAAAATGTCTCAATTGTTAGATGTCTTTGTAAATTTGTCTATTGTCTTTGATTGATTTGGAAAATTAAAAATTCATTTAATGATTTTTAATGATTTCGAAATCGGTTTTAGATGATCACATTTAAATCAATTTAAATTTAAAAAAAAAAAACTCACTGATTTTCGGGTTTGGAATTTCTTGAAAAAAATACTTTACCAGAAATAAAAGTTAGAGACTCTCAAAAATCAACGTTTAAGGGTTCTTGTTGTCCATAAAGAATACTCTTATAACAACCACTTTTTTGCTTGGCCTTAAAAATTATTCATACAAAGCCCGCATCATAGGACTTCCGAAGATCCAGGGAAGTCCAGGGAGCTGTTTTATGTTTTTCAAAAAAATAAATAAATAAATAAGTAAATAAATAAATAAATAAATAAAAAATAAAAAATTAAATTACTTTATTTTCACAAAAAGTATGTTTTAAAAATATTTTCAAAATATTTAAGAAATTTTTCAAAGTTCAAAAAGTTAGGAAACTTTTTGATATCTGCCAAATTTGAAAAGTG